AGTTGTTACACGCTCCTTAGCGGATTCCGACTTCCATCGCCACCATCCTGCTATAAGTACTTTTTAAATAGAAAAAAAGGGTCAGTGACAGATTATTTTCAGCAGTCATGGGCACATAAAAAGTCCAATGACCTCACCCTTTGTATTATTTGTGGCTTATTTTTTAACAAAAAATGTTTAAAAAGTAAAAAGAAATTAAAAATGCAAAAATCCTTATAGATATAAAGAAAATATTTTTGCGCTGCTTCATAATGTGTTCATGTTTTAAGCTAAATATTATTACAAAAGAGTCAAAAGTTAAAAAACATTAAAAGGTTATAAAGTGAAAAGGTTATAATAAGCTAAAGTTAATTTATTATTGAAAAAAGAAATTTTTTTTTTTTTTATAAATTTAGTGTAGCCTAAGTGAACAGTGATTATAAAGTCTACAGAGCGTACAGTAATGTCCTAGAGCTAAGCCTTCACATTCACTCACCACTTACTCACTGACTCACCCAGAGTGAATTTCAGTCCTGCAAGCTCCATTCACGGTAAGTGCCCTAGATAGCTATACCATTTTTTATCTTTTTACTGTATCTTTACTGCACCTTTTCTATATTTAGATGTGTTTAGATACACAAATACTCACCATTATGTTATAATTGTCTACAGTATTCAGCACAATAACATGCTGTACAGGTGTGTAGCCTAGGGGCAATAGGACATACCATATAGCCTAGGTGCATACTAGGCTGCACCATCTAGGTTTGTGTAAGTGCACTCTATGATGTTCACACAATGAAGAGACTGGCTAACAACGGATTTCTTAGAACATATCTTTGTCATTAAGCAATGTATGACTGTGGTGTATATGTATTTCTCTGTGTATATATGTATATACATATCTGTATATATGTGTGTACACACACACACAAAAGCTTCTTGTAGCAGAATGAAAGTTCAGTAAACCATAATGACAGATTTATGATCAAAGCCTAACATTTACTTCTTCCATTAATATGTTAGATTAAACCAAATGAAACCATAGATACTAGATCATTTTTTACCTAAAAAATATTTCATATAGTTTAGCCTAATATATCTAAGTTGTGTTAAACAATATAGTAATATCTATTTTCCCCTAGCTGGCTATTCTTGAGTATTCTTAGTTAAATTTTAAAGGTTATCTTCAAAATCTTTACTTCATTTGTCTAGTATCGTTAAATGCTTAGGCTTTAAAACTCTACTAATAATACCACAAAGATCTTTTATACAGCAGTCTTTTTATACAGGTTGAGCCTAACAGAATGTCAACCCCCTTAAAGTCTATAAATAATAGAAAACTTTGGGGAAAAAATAAGTATGTTCAATAAGAATGAATTAGAATCACAAACATTTGTAATCAAAGGACCAACTACTCTGATCCACATTCAGCCCTAACTTCGATATCCTATTTGTGTGAAACTCCTCCTGTCAAACGGGTATTCATATTATTCTTAAAGTCATTAAGGAAAGAAAGCATGTAACTTTTCTGGCAACTCATTCTAGTTACCCACACCTAGAAACCTGTTTTGGGTGTATTTTTTTTATATTTGCCTATATCATACTTGCTACATTTCCTCTTACGTTTACAGAGTGTTAAAGGGAGTTCCTCACCAAACTATATATATATA